TAAAAAAACTAATTTTAAATTAAATATTTTTACCGTCTCACCAAACTCCAAACACAACAACATACAGTAGAATATAAATATATTTAAAAATATAATCGTAGTTATTTTTTAAAATATTTTTTATTCATAAATATATTTAAATAATATTTTTTATTTTTTAAATTTTTTTGAATGCATACACATTAAAATAAACTAAAAAATATATTAATTTATTATAAAATAAATTCACAATTTTTTTAAACATAATTTTATCAATCCAAGCCACATGGAAGTATAGTCCTATTATATAGCGAGCGACGTGGTTGTACAAGCATGCTGCGCTACCAGATCCAAGCAGAAAAATAAGAATTGGTAAGGAACCAAGGCACGAAACAATTACTGGTGCAAAGTTATGGCTTTGCAAGCAAAGTAAAATGCCCGAAGCACAAGCAAAATTCTCATTCAATCAGTTTTAGATACAATAAAAAGAGTTTCTTTCAATTAATACAAGAAACGAACTTCATATCTCTACTTTTACTTCTACAAGGAAAAATAAATCCATAGCAACTACCCCTTGCTCATGAAGAATCCACTACTGATGTAAATGATCTTGCAAGGTCGTCAAAAAACACAATTAGTGCTCCTTAACTATCTATCATCCTTCATGAGATCACTACACCAATTTTCTTGGCAAAGTCTTCTCCATCTTCATCTTCATATTCCTCTTCACCATCTATATTTTCACCCTCTTCGTAATTGTACTCTCCTTCATCAACCTGCTCATATTCATAATTTTCATCCCTCTGATCATCACCTTCGTACTCATGATCTTCCATTCCATCATCAGCCATCATCCCATCTTCAGTCTCAATCTCACTTGGATTTGGAAGTTGAGAAGACTGACTGTGAGCAATTTCAATATTTTTTTCTGTTCCAATGGCACCATCAGTTGCAAGCTTGGATTCTTCTTTATTTTTTAGCATTTGGGTGCTGTTATCATCCTTTGATACAGAGGAAATGCCACTTTGCATCTCTGCATCTGCCTTTTTATTGGAATTGCTGATGAGGCTTTGCCTGCTTTCCTTCAGATTGTTGTTGTCCTTAATAACAGATGATATTCCACCGCCAGAAGCTGCAGCTCCACCCTCTCTCTTTCTCTTGAGAATCTCACTAAGAGGCATTGGCCCTTCGAATGAGAGATCAGCATCAGATGATGGATTATCTTCCGCATGCTTGCGCTTTCCAAGGGATTGCTGCAACTTACCCTCAGCATTTTTCCCACCTTTCAGCTCTGCAAGACTTTTAGGACCAGCAAAATTAGAACTTCTATCATCCATTAGTTCTCCTCTCACTTGAGGACCTCTGAAACTTCTCCCCTCATTGTAATCCTCTTCCACCCTAGCTTTCATTCTTTCCCGTAGCCTCCCTTGTTGGGAGGTGACCGGGGACCTCACCGGTGACAATCTTCCCCGATTCCTGCCCCTGTCAATTTCCCTTTCTGCACGCACATCACCACCATTGTTTGGAGATCTTCCTGGAAGCTTGATTCTACCACGAAGACGACTGCTAATGGAGCTCTCATGTGAAGGTAAGTGATGAGAGTCTCTTCGTGAAGAACCCCGGTAACCTCGCTCCTCAACATGGTTCTCTGGGACAAAATCATTACTAACAACTGATCTCAAGCCATTAACCCTCCTTTGTTTTGATAAACGATAACGCAAATCTGATTCCTCAGTGTGCTCAGGGCTATCAGCTTTCAAGTAACCTCGCCTTTCTGGAAGAACTGGTGCCATTAACATTCTTTCTGATGAAGCCCTGTGCTGCTCCCAAGCATGCTGCCCTGGCATGAGTTCATAGGAATCATAGCCTTGTGGATCACAATACATTTCTTGATCATCATGTAATAAACCATAATCAGCAGAATGGCCCGTGCCATATTCATCAACAGAGTTCAAGTTCCTCCCTTCATTTCCTGTTGTTCTTCCAAGCTGCTCTTCACCATGGTAATAATCTGAATCCCTCAACTCATTGTCCACAAGAACATCAAAACCAGGAGAGGACTCCCTCAAATACTCATCAGCATCCTTGCCATTCTGGATAACATGATCATCTGCTACCTCTAACTGATGCAAACGACTGGAACGACTTAAATTCCCATTGACCATGAGAGGAAGATTTGCTGCTTTATATCTAGGAATTTCACCATCCATGCTTTTAGGTGGCACTGCACTCCTTACAACACCGGCAATGTTTCTTGCATGAACAATTTCAGCTTTTGACACAGGTTTAGCAACAGAGGGTGCTTCAACAGCCTTTGAGATTTTTGTTTGTGGAATCTTATGTTCTTGAGTACACTTTTGAAGGCCGCCAAAAGCCTTTTTTGGAGGAAGGGCCTCAGCCCCAGGGGTAGGTGCCATTGGTTGAGAAACTTTATTACCAGCAAGATTTGGTCCATGGGAGAAAGCACATTTGTCACCTTTTACGCATATACCCTGCTGGAAGAAAATGCAGGGGACCGCCTGTTTGCCTGGATTGTGAGGAGCATGTGTGGCAGATGCCACAGCAGCATGCGATGGTGGCAAGGAAGATCCAGCAGAGGCTATTGCTTGGGTTCCAAACAAGCCATCCAGGGGCTGAAATAAGAGCATAGGTATTAGATACTAATAAGCTGGACAAAACAATTTAATCAAGACAAGCTTGCAAAATTTAAAAATCCCCCACTATCTTAAACTGAAACCAAGAAAGAAGAGCGTAACATGATAACAAGACATGGAAAGGGGCTTACAGGATGACGAAACCCACACTTGGGATTCAAGCAATTACCATTCAACCAAAAATAGCAGTCCCTGGGATTAACCCTGGCATATTCACTGTGGCGATATTCACACTCACTTCCCTATTGAAACAAAGAACAAGTGGGCTTCAGTTAACAAAAATTAAACTGCATAAAACTGAAAAGCACGGCGGTAAGATCATAAACATAGAAAGCAATTGGGACACATGATATTGATTTCATTGAAAGATGACAGAAACGTAAAGTACAACTCGGAAACTTTATGCAAAGCCTAGCAAATATTACTTACTATTCATGTAGCAAATCACAAATATGAATGCATTATAAAGACTTCAAAAAGAAAGCAACTAATGAAAACAGCAGTGCTATCACTAGACATTTCAGAAAAATTAGCATTCCTGCGGAAGCCCAGCAAACATAGAACATATGAACTAACTAACACGTCTGGATAAGGATCGGAAAAGAAAACCCACAAGGCAAATGATACTTATAGGCCCAATAGAACATTGCCCACATAGATTCAGTAAGAAGCATTGGAAAGACAAATCGTACGATAAGATCTAGATCGACAATTTTATATCGAGAAATTGATTAGGGTTTTCACTCAAATCCAATTCAAGAACCAAGATAAACCTAATTAAAATATCAAACAAAGCAAATTGTAAATCCGAAACCCTAGTAATTAGATCCCTAAAAATCGACAGAGAAAGAAAAGCGAACCTTTTTGCAGGTTAAAGGAGAAGCAAGAAAGTAAACGCAATCAGTATTCCTTTTCAAGGCTTCATCTTCAACGGATGTTGCGTTTGCTGTTGTTGTCGAAGCAGCAGCTGTAGATGGGTGCTGCTGTGGTTGGGTGGCTGCAACCATGGCGGTTCTTCTCCTTTATTATTATCAATTAAAGAATCGGATGCAGATCGATAAATCACTTTGCAGCAGCAGCACTGATAGTGGGATCGCGCGAGTAGTAATGATAATAAATAAAAGGAGAAGCGATCCTCCAAGAATCCTCGCACCCAACGGAGATTATTATTTACTTACTATTATTATTACATGAAAAACTATATATAAAAGTAGAGAGATAGTATATATACGAAGAGAGCCGCCACGAACGAGGACAGATAAAAAGGGTGTGAGAAAGGGAATGGAAAGGGAAGGAAACGAGTGTGTTATGGTAATGGTGCTCCTATATATATATATATATATGACAGGTGGTGTTTAAAAATTAATTGGTTTTTGAAATATTTTTTTATTTAAAAATATATAAAAATAAGATATTTTTTATTTTAAAAAAAAATATTTTTAACATTAACCTATCAAAAAAAATTATAAATAAAAAAATAATAATTTCAAACCAAAAAATTACAAAATTACAAAACATTATTTCAACCACAAAAACAAATAAGCCCATATAATTTTATTTTATTTTGAAAAATAGCTAACTCTTCAAAATTACATTTAATAAAAAAAATTAATTTAAGAGGTTTTTAAGAAAAAACATGTTTTTTCTGTTTTTTATAAATTTAAATATTATATTTAATGATTTTATTTTTCTTTATTTAGGATTTTTTTTCCTTTATTTTCAACTTCATGGTAAACATTAAAATGAAATATTCCATATAATTTGTGTTGATTGCATTTATTGTTTTTCTTTGGCTTATTTGGCTTATACTTATTGTTTTTTTAATATATTATTTTTATCTACATTAGTTTCACTGCTTTTAGATAGTATTTAATATTATAATAATGGTTATTTATTAAAGTATTTTTTAATTAAACATATATTAAAAATATATTTTTTTTATTTCTTCTTGACATTATTATATTAAAATAATATAAAAATTAAAAAAAATTACTAAAGAATGTATGAACCACATTCCCTAATACTACTGTTTTTGAACGTTACTGATGCAGAGAGAGAGAAGGGCACGGAAGTAGTAGACACGTAGAGCAATCAGAGGAGAGTTAAGCATGCGTGAAAATTTATTTATGGTTAGTTTTTGAAGTATTTTTTATTTTAAAATATATTAAAATAATATTTTTTTATTTTTAAAAAATTATTTTTAATATCAATATAAACATTAAAAATATATTAATTTAAAGAAAAAAATCAAATTTACACAGTGCCAAACAGGCTCTTCATTTTAGATTCACTGGCTCATTACAATTCTTAATGGTAAAAGACCATCTTAAGTTTCAAGGACTGGCTTTTGTGTACAAAGGCTACAGGGTAAAGTAAATGGTAGGTTAGGACCACAAAATCCGAGAAGGAAGACAAGTTCATTTGAGTAAATATGTTTCAGGTTTCACCAACACCAACCACAAAAGGTAAACGAGGAAGGAACACGACCGGTTCTACGAATATACTCTGCCTGTTTGTCAGTTTTCGCAGCCTGCCTGTTACTCTTGGCTTCTGCTGTTACTCGCTTCTCTTCAGCCTTGTGCCTTGCTGCTGCTAGTTTGTTCATAAGCCTATCTTGGGCCTGCCCCCTTATCCTTTCAACATCCACCTGAAAGGAGTATAGTCAATGAGATGAGTTTCACAGTTCACAATCTCGTACATGTAGCAGCTAAAGGCAAAGACAGGGCATTTTATTCTTTTAGGAAATTAGCTCCTGGTATGTTGCAGCATCAGCTGCATGAAAAGCACAGTACACAGGCCATAGAGCACAATATCGTGATATCAGTGTGCAAGCATCCTGGGTCCTACTAACTTAAACATAATGATTTTAAAATGTGGAAGTAGATTTTTAAGGACTTGTAACTGAAAAAATGAATAACAAGAAAGGCATAGGCACCACTAATGTTACCAGGATGCTCAATACAGGTTCCTGCATATCTCGCTGCAACTTTTTAAGATATATAGACAAGTAGAATTTTGCAGGAAGACAGACCACACGACACCACATTCACATCAAGACAGACAAATTTACAATCATATGCACACTCTTGCGCAAACATCGTCGGCACAAGGATTTCTAGAAATTACTAGTGTAAAATCAATACCTATTTGTCACATGCTTATTGTTGCAATCTACTGCTTTACAATACTAGTTACAACAAAGAAAATCACCGAGGAGCCAATGTACCATGCTCCATTCATATCACCTGCTTGGCATGCTTAGAATCACAACACCTATACAGCACACTTATTATGCTTATGATTTATGAACAGGAAGGAGCCAGTTCAGCACCTCCTATAGCCAACAGATGGAACTAAAGAGGGGGTGGAAACAGTCTCGAGCCCTTCATTTGTATTCAGAGTGAGTTCCACATTATATATCGGTGGGGCACTGGACCTATAATTCATGAAAGCAGACTTCTAAATTAATTTGACCATTGCTAACCATGTCAAATCAGCCCACCTGCTCTTTGCTGATTTCCAACATCAGAATCTTCTTTCCCAAGTTTATGTGCTTGCATGTCAAGCTCTCAATCTTGCACTGGAAGATCCTTTTCCAACATTCAAAGAAAACTCTATTTCCAACTCATCATGTATTAAACCCTTCCTCTTATCCCCCCTCACACACAAATGATAAACGATGTCAAAGCTCTACTTTCTAAACACGTGCTACATATTTGGTGAAAACCACTTTAGCTGTGCAGCTTTGCAACTGGATCTTTGCGTACACCAAAGTTTCAATAACAGGAAGGCAGTAAAACACGATGAAATGTTCTCCAGCCAGAACATACCAAACCAATTCAAACTTCAGCACTTCAGCTTTAGGTGTCAAATCACATGGTGCATAGCTGAGTTGCATGGATCAAAAAACGTTGTATCCAAACCATGCACAATTAGCAACAAAATTAAGATACACTAAAAATCATCTACATTCACATTTAATCCCAATGTTCGCATAAAAAACATTTTAACTTAATAAAGTAAGCTTTTTCTAGTAAAAAAAAAGCATTCATATTGTAATTCTCAATATAAACAATGCTCTTAAGTTCACATCACCAAATTTGTCATCATTCAATTTCTTTTGAAATAACCATCCAAAGCACTTGATATTTTTTTTGGTCTTGCATTTGAGTCAGAATACTATACAGGTTAAAAGTCAACAAAGTGAGGATTAATATACAAGGATGACCCATGAACCATGCTTTAAGCTTCTGGTTTAAGACCCAACATATCAAATGACTCGTGCAAAAGGACTTTCCAGTGATTTTCCCTAAAACAATTTTGATAATACAACTAGTCAAAACCACCAGGAGGCTATATGACCAACACTACCCAAGGGTAACAACAGAAACTGGTCCAAACCACTAGGGGTTTCGCAGCAACTTTCTCCTTTTACATACATAGAAGCAAGTTGGCTAGTCTAATAGGATACAAACATGCATTAGCACTTAGCTGAGTTTCAAGATGTTCAAATTTCAGTAGCATACACATACAATTCTTTGTATAGAAGGAGGGCTTCAATGCATTCCTAGGCACCAGGTGCATCTTCCCCCTTCTTATATTTTTTGGCCTATTTGTTTTTCAAAGAAAGGTAAAAGAGAATTAAAAGATAAAAACATAAAAACAATGCTACAATAGGGAAGAAAAAATGTATTAAATACCTCAATTTTTCTCATCTCAGCTTCAGTTTTTGCTTTTTGATGATTCTCCCATGCATGAATTTTCATCTCTTCGCGTTTAAACCTGAGGAATTGCAAGTATTTCCTCTTCAAGCCACATATTGAAAAATAGTGAGCAAATATTAATCAACCAGAAGTAATTATGTGTCCTTTACATTATGACCAGAAAATCCAGAGAAAACTTTTCAGATACATCTTCTATTTCCTTGCTTGAAAAACATCATCTATCCAATGTGGATTTCTACAAGTAATGCAGAACAACTATTTTCTGGAGGCCCAAAAGGAAATCTACCGTGTTGCTTATTCTGGATGAGGCAATGTATATCATGCTGGACATCACCAAATTATTCTTTCACCTATACCTGGTTTAAGATGTCCCTTGAATTTCTACGTTGTCCAACAGAAACATGTCCATCTAATTTCTATTCTATATGCGTATAACCAAAGTTATGCCATGACAGAGGAGTGAAGTTCAGTCATGTTACTTAACTTCCTATTCAGTCAGATAATGTGTTTATATGTTAAAGATGTCATGTTAAAGGTGAGTGGAAAAAAAAAAAATTTGAGAGGGGATAAAAAGAAAGGGAAAGGAAAATTTTAATCAATGGTTTTTATAGTGAAAGCACCTGGCCATATATTTGGCCTTCTCCGCCTCCTCCCATGCTGCTGCACGTGTTTCAATCACATTTTTACTCTGTTGTTCAGCTGCTGTAATATTCAGTGAAGTGGAGGCGTCCTTGTCCTTGTCCTCCTCCTCTTTGCTAGCCCAGGCTGCAATGTTCATTTTACCTAGCTGTGTCCCTAGAACCATTATTTCTCTCTTGGTTTTCAGTTTTAACTCCTTTTCAGACAATCCCTTGTTTGGATCTAGATGGTCATTGGGAGGATTTGTTGGAGATGAAGCTGGTGCGGTTCTGCCAGGACTAGAAGGCCTGGAAGAAGTTGGACTGCGAATTGGTGTTGTTGCCCTCACTGGAGTTCCTGTCCTAGAAGGCTCTTGACTAGCAATAGGAGTCATTTCCGTACCCATATCTCTCATTGATACAGATCGAGCAGTTGAAGGAGGCGGAATAAATGTAGTTGCACTGTGTATGGCCAAAGATGAATCATGCCTGCTGAGACTGACTGCGAGGGGGGGAAAAAGAATATGATATACATTCTACAACATTAATCATTCTTTATCATAAAAGTATGCATGGATTAGATCTATAATGTCACGATACTTTCTTCTATGCTAAAGGATGTTAATATAATAATGGAAGTAAGAACCTGCTTCTACAGCAGTTGCCAACACTTTCAGACATTTTACAGCTGCAGGTAATACCCGTTCTGTTTTGTTCCATATTTTCATGCTTGTATTGAAATCCAAAAATAATATCAATTTACTATAGAAGAATATTGAATCTATCAGTTTCTACCGAAAACTTAAGAGGAAAAAAGGCTAGACTCGTCATCTCTAGCAGCAAAGACATATTGTACAGCCAAAGACCATTTAAATTTAGGAGAATCTGTTACGGAACCTGGAAAATAATTTAGGGAAAGATATAGAAATCAGACACATGCTCCCAAAAAATGGATTAACAAAGTGCAGAAATACCACCTTCATGCTCTCATCCACATATTTTAATTTTCTAGGTGTGCAAAGGAAATGATAAAAACTCTAATAACTAAACACCAAAATGCCATCAATGCTGTTTAAACATCAGCAGTGAGCGAGAAGAGCATTTTTCGTGAAAGAGATTCCTAAGGCTCTGCTATGCAGATATGCTACTAGCTACAATATGGCGGAGAAGATTAATGGAAGACCTAGGATCTGAAAAGGACCCACATAGAACGTGAGAGAGACAGTGTTTGCATTAGGCAACCTTTTCAGCTACCCAAACAGCTCCTTTAATCACGAGCAATTTGAATGATAGAAAGTTTTTCCTGAAATGGCTGAAGTTTGGAAGAAAGTTGAGTAGCAATGCACATGGATATTGATTCATGTTTGCACTTATGCCATCAAATCATCAAATTAATATACCATGAGATTGTAACCAGTTCCACCTGATCCATTTATCCAACTATGTTGAACACCCAATGTAGTAAATCTTTGCTATATTGAAAGTGTGAGCGATATGAACAAAAAGCAAAGCACGAGCACTATATCAACTGCAGATGATGTTTAAGCATATGAACCAAACTCATTAACAGTTATTTCTTACTTGCTGATTGCCCAACAGAATTATCATTCATAAGCACAGGCTTGCCATAGGAATCAACTATTGGGTATGAATCAGCCTCCCAACTTTTAAGTCTTTGTACACCAGTTTCCTTCTTGGCTTGACTAGTATCAACCCGTTTTGTATCCGGTTCTTCAAATGTAACCACCTTTTGTTCTGGAACTTCTACAACAACCTTTGTAGAAGATTGCCGACTCAGAACATTACCCGTCTTCCGCGGTCCTTGTCCACCTTGCACCTGAGCATGCCCTGTTTTAGACCGGTTCCAAGTGGGGCTTGCTATCCACTTCTGGGCATCATCCCATTTGGATGGTGCTGGTTTTGAGAACGGAGCAAGGGGTACTCTTTGTGGGGCCCGCTCAGCCTTTTGAAAATCAGAAATCGAGGAGAGCACAATTGCAGTTTCATTACTTTTATCATATTCAAAAGATGGGACTTCCTGGCTCCTGATTCTTGAATTGACAAAAGATTGATCCTTCAATCTACTACCATCACTGACCATCTGTGATGCAGCCCTGGAATCAGCTGTCGTTGAAGCAGGGAATTCAGGAAGCACATTGACAACATCTACATCTTTGCAATTATCAGAACTGCCGCCACCTACACGTTATGAAATATAGGATCGGATATCAAATGCAGAAAGATAATCCAAGTGGATCCCTTTATTCACATTTTAAGGCCTTGTTAGATTGAATATCACATTACTTTTATTTCTTGTTTTAGCGAGCGTGTGATCAAATCTAACCCCTATCTCCCCAGCCCGAAAAATAAAAAGGAAAGGAAAACAAATCACAGATGTAGACATAACAAGAATAAAAAAACAGGCATTTTCCCTACCAGTTTCATCGAGGTGATTAAGTTGAGATCTGAACGCGTAAGAGGATTCAAGCTCTTCCTCTTGTTCTTGTTGATTTCTCTTCTTTTCCACTCCTAGTAACATGCTTCCCAGTTTCCCCGGTGACAATCCTCCCTGTTTTCCACCCCAAATATGCATACAACTAAATTAGTACAGGGTCCATCTTTTTTTCTCGCAAAAATTAAAAAGAAACTATGGTAGGGTTTTGACGTGAATGTGTGTGACAGAACAAAGGCTGAGAAAAAAAGAGAGATCATTATTTCTTATAAAAGGAAATGGTGAGCAATTAATAAAGCACATTGGATGAAGAGAAAGTGATAAAGAAAAGAAAGAAAATCATGATGAATCAGTAAATACCTGAGGCTTTTCGATCCTTTCGTAATCCATTCTTTCTTAACGCTAAGCTATTTCAAGCAAGATTCATGCTGTTGCTGCTGTGTTCGTACATTGCGTGTGCTGCTCGCCTTCCTTTTCTTGCTTGCTTCGGCCTCCCTTGTGTTTCTCGGACTGGTGACTGAGGAGTCATTTCAGCTGACAAATGTTGGAGTTTGGGCCTCTACTCTGGTCTGGGCAGACAAGCAATCCTGACAAGGAGAGTATCCCTCTATACCCTACAAGTGTCTGTTTTTCATGGGATTTCTCTTCGACTCTGGTCAAAATATACTGACGACATATTTGGTAGCTGGAAACAGTAATGAATCCACGACATTTTTGGTAACTGGAAACAGTAATGAATCCATTTGTAAGTTATTTTCCCATCCCTGACGTTTTGATGATGTTAGACTTTAGTCTCTAAGTTCCAAAAACCCTGCGTTGTAGTTCTTGGGAGTCTAAAAGACTAACAGTCCCAATACTAAACCATTCTAGGTTTTTTGTAAGTTTTATCGGGCGAGACGGGAGAATATAAGTATCTTCTTTTTGTTTTGCATTTTTGTTGTCAATTTATATTAAAATTGACAAAATGTTCATCAATTGACCTCAAACAACAAACGTCATCATTTAGGCTATTAGAAAGAGATCGAATTGCATTTTTCAGAAATATAGGGACTGTAATGAACGTTTTGCAAAGAAATTGAGCTTTTCGTCCTCTAGCCACTATCGGAGTGATTTGGTGGCGGGGCGGTTCTGTACCAGCAATAATAAGGCCTCGATTAGTAACGCGGCTCGTTTTATAAAAATTAAAATTTAAAAAAAAATACTTTTTTATATTTTTATACTGTTTTAATATTTTAATATTTTAAAAATTAAAAAATATATTATTTTAATATATTTCTAAAAACATTTTACGAAACAACTATTATTATAACATTAACCAATAACCACTATCTAAACAACATCATGCAGGAGGGGTTCTCGGATAAATTGCTTGCATTTTTATTTTTTTTGAATGTCCTTATTAAGATATTTATTGATTTTTTACTATTTATAAAGTCAGCGAAGGAAAAAACTTGTTGACCAGTAAGCTGGGGCCATTAATAAAATTACAATTTACAGGTTCGTTTTTTTTTCTGGTGGTCACAAGGTTTGGTCACTAGTGACCTTGTGGTATTGTTTTTATATAGAGAGTCTTGTGATTTTGACTTAGGTAATTTAGTTGCTTGGTGTTTGAATGTTAAGGTGCTAAGAATCCTTGCATCCAAAATCCACTTATTTTTTATTTATTTATTTTGAATCTTAAACGGGGAAAGATGCATATATCAATTTTTTATTGCTTCCGGTTTTAGAAAGATAGGGATACATTTTTATTGATTTTTTTATGAAGTGATTGCAAAATTATTTTTTTGAGAAATATATCGAAAATATCGAAGAGAAACACATTGAGAAATTATCATGTAAGTTTTTTCTGCAAAAATAAAAGTTTATTATATATATTACGAAATATATTTTTAATGTGATTAAAAATAAATCATTATAAAGTAATTTTAACATATAAAAATATTAAAGAGAGGAATTATAATGTAAGTTTTTTTATTTTAGAATTATTTTTACTTGATTTGAATTGATATATATATATATATTTCAAGTTAATTTATACATCACATATTTATATAGCGTGGAATATGAAATATTTATTAATAATTTACCTCTTCAGTCAAAAAATTATAACTCTGTCGTTATCTACAACCTACTAAATGTATAGCTAAAGCAATATCTCCGGTTGCAGATTGGAAATAATAAATTTTAAAGTTTTAATTTAACTAATTAGATTATAAATTTATTATCTGAAAATTAGTAGTTTGAATAACATAAATATTAAAAATTTATTTGTTTATTAATTCTAAAACTTTTAAAAATAAATTAAAATAATTATTAGTTGTTCCGAATATACATATATATATATATATATATATATAAATAAAACACTAAAGTCTACAAAACATGCCATGCCATTGGTTAGAGGATAGAAACAACAGAGGGCGAAAACAAGATCACACCCCGTGATTGATTGAGGGTTTGATCAGTTCTAGTCAGCCGAGGCTGCTGCGTGTTACTAACAGGAACTTGTCGTCTCTGTGAAGGACAAACTTTCCTTCCCCGGCTTTAATTAACTCGGGACCAAACTTTTAATTATCCTTGACTGTAACTAAATCCAGCTGGCACGGATATATCGGTGAGTGTTATACATCATTTTTAAAGTATTTTTTATTTATAAATATATTAAGATAATATTTTTTAATTTTTTAAAATTTGTTTTTGATATTAATTTAAAATATAAAAAAATTACAAAGCACATTTAGAACACCTAAGTTTCCCACGGCTTCCATTATCGAAGACGGCAGACATTTCTGTGTATTCTCTTGTCGTGCATGCACCTTGAATGGAAACCACCGTTGCATCCCTAGTTTTTAACTAACAATATTATTCGCGCAATTCTGCATGGTTATTTTAAAATCTGTATTTATCTAACTATATAATAATTAAAATAAATATTTCTATATGTCTTGATAATTTTAAACTCAGGAAAAAAGGTGTTTTTTAATTGAAATTCTCTTTTCTTATTCATGTATTTCATTTTTGTTTTGGAAAAGACACATCTTTTTTATTGGTTGGTGTGCATTTTTTTGAATAAGAACTTGAGATAATTAAAATAAATATTTGTAAGAATTTGAGTGATTTAAAGTAAAAAATAATGCTCCTTCTTTATTCATGCACCTCTTTTTTGTTCTGATTAAAAATGTTTTTTATTAAAAAATAAAAACTATTCATAGCCTAGAAAGAAAATTTCAATAGTAAAATTAAAAATTATATCTTGATAATTTTCACCCAACCATATGAAAGAAATAAAATAATAAATAATTTAATAAAAATAAATAAATATTTTAATTCATTAAATTATTTTGAGTCATCTTTTTAATTCATACATGATAATTTATCAAGTAACTGCTAGTATTACCAAGAAAACAGTAACTTTTTTGGGAAAATATGATATAATCAAGTGATTTTTTAAATATTATCAGGATATTTTTATTCAAAGAGAAATTTATTTTAAAATGCAAAAATTTAATAAAATAAATAAAAAAAGCTATTGAAATGTTGTGAAACAACAACTTTCCTTTTCTTGAAATTGTGAGCTTATATGATATTATAATAACAATTATTTTTTAAAAATATATATAAATAATTTTTTTATTTTTAATATTAAAACATTGAAATAATTTAAAAATATTAAAAACTCAAGTAAAATCAAATTAAAAAAAAAACTTTCAAAACACGAATATAAACATGTTACACGAAAAGGGTTAAGATTTTCAGAGCGCACAGTTTGCTAATAATGCCTTTTTATCCCCAATGAACGAAACAGCTTGTTTTTTTCAATCTCTTACCCTTTCCCTGTCTCTGACGGAGAAACCTTGCAAAGCAAGATAGTAAATGATGGGTCATGGTTTTCTTCAACCTCCCTCATTGGTTAGCATAAAAGTTATAATTCAAACTGGAGTTATATCTTTAACGGTGCTCAATTTTAGGTTAGTTTATAGCATACCCAGGCTTACCTCCATGAGGACATGTTTAGTGCCCAGTCCTATATTGGCCCAACGACGTGTTTGTGCTTGATCCCCCTGTTGGATCGGATCATGTTCACACTCTACTCTATATTGGATTAAAAACATATCTCGCCCAACTACACCTTGGGCTATAAAAAGTTTCGCGCTTAATCATTTACTAGGTTAAGGATATTACCATACTCAATTCCATATTTGGTTATGATATATCTATCCCTGACCATTATTAGATATAATCAAAAGTTGAACTTAATTCCTCTTGGATTTAATAGGTGAGTTTAACCCAACGCTTATCAAGTTTAGTGCATACCTGAAAAACAACTCCATAGACTTCGATATTACGAGTCTATGTTGATAATTATAATTCTTATCATATTTTATTAAATATAAATAAATAATTTATGTTTATATTAATTAAATATAATAATATAAGTAATAAAATAATATTATCATGTTAGTACAATATTATATTTCTTACATTGCATGAAACAGGTCAAGTCAGGTAATATAAAAGATAACAAAAATGTACATAAAGAGATTCAAAACCTTATATTTAAAATATAAACACTATTAATCTTCTTCTTATAGTTGAATTCTACATCTTCTATCATTTTTTTTTTTATCTTTCTTCATGAAAGCTTATTAATATCTTTATTAATATCATTCCACCGCACGATAATACCTCACTGAGTTAATTTTTGAGGGCCTCCATTAATTTAATATGGTTTTGATATATTAATATTTAAAAAAATAAAAAATATTATATCTTTAAGAAATACATTTAAATAATATTTTTTATTTTTTAAAATTTATTTTTTACAACAACATATCAAAACAATAAAAAAATATAAAAAATAAATTTAAATAAGAAAACATTAAAAAAAAATACAATGCCAACCATGTTTACAAATACATCTTTAAACTTGTTCAGTCACCGGCTACCATTATTGGGAGGCTCGGAGTCACACTTGAATACAACGAAAGACAGAATGAGTTCGTGGACAAGGTGACTTCTGTAGTTTGATCACATAATTATTACATCTCTCAGAAACTTTGATTTTTTTTTTTATATAAATAGTTGATAATGGAAAATAAAATGGAAAACTGATTTGCTTATTGTAGAAGAAGGTATAAATTGGAAGTTGCAGGCACGTGGACAGTTGAAGAGAGCATGGAGCGCCATACTAGCTTAAGATTTTACTTTTTTTTTTTTTTGAAAAGTGTTTTATAAAAATATTATTTTTATTTTAAATTAATATTTTTATATTCTTTAATAATTTTTAAAAATTAAAAAATATTTTTTAATATTTTTTTAAATAAAATATAATTTAAAAAATAACTATAATTATAATTTCAAATAGCGTGATCCAAATACGGCCGGCTACAGCCGGTACATCAGCGTATTTCCCATGAAAAACCTTCTAAAATCGATAACTTCACTATTTTCTCCTTTCTTTTTTAGCTGGCAGTTTTTCACTTTTTTTTGTCACCCCTTTGGTATAGGTACTGTTTGTTACTGTATTGTTGTTTACTTTTTAAATTACTTTTTGTTTAAAAATATATTAAAATAATATTTTTTAATTTATTTTTATACATCAAAACAATCCAAAAATAATTAAAAAATAATTAATTTGAAATAATAAAACTAAATATTTTTTAAATTATTAAAAAAAAAATTAAAATAAAAAACAAACAAGATAAAAATGGGCAAATAACCATTTCCAATAAAAACAAAAAAATTCCTAAAAAAAAAAAGGCGACCAGATTCCATTTTCCTCCCCTCACAATTTTTTTTTTTTTAAATAACACAAAAATCGAGCTGTTTTATTCCTTCTCTATTTCAAGTTGATTAAAAAAAGCAATCGGCGTAAATCAATATCTCCGGCGAGTAATGGAGGAAGGAAGCAGCAGCGTAGAAATGGCCGGGGCGGTGATCGCTTTCAAATTGAAAGAGGCGTCGAGTTGGTGGCAAGATATTAACGAATCACCGGTCTGGCAAGATCGCATCTTTCACGACCTCGCCGCCCTCTACGGTCTCGTTGCCGCTGTTGCTTTTGTACGTCCGCCACACCTCCCTTACCTTTTCTTATGTCTGCTAAATTAGCCCTATATTATCTGTCTTTTGTCAATTTATGCATGCGAATGATGAGTCTTAGGAATTTCTAGGGTTCAAATTGATGAATGGAGAGGTGGCTAATTTGAACTTGTTTGATCGTGTTGTAGATTCAATTGATAAGGATACAATCGAGAGTTCCAGAATACGGCTGGACTACGCAGAAGGTGTTTCATTTTCTCAACTTCCTCGTGAATGGGGGTTTGTATTTCGACATTCTCAAATTTCACGAAGTAAACAAATTTGGTTTTCATTGTGATTGTATTATGTTATATTCACCGTGGTTCATTCTGTATCGCAGTTCGATGCCTATTGTTTGTTTTTCGCCGGAATATAGAAAGCATCCATCCATCGGTATGGGAGTGCTCGACTTTTATTTTTATTTTTTAATAATTATATTGGTTTATAATGATTTTTGATTGGTAAATTTGATGATTTTTGTTACTCAGATTTTCCAACATATACTCCTTGATTCCCCTAGTCTTGCATTCGACTTTTTTTTTTTTAATAATTATATTGGTTTATAATGATTTTTGATTGGTAAATTTGATGATTTTTGTTACTCAGATTTTCCAACATATACTCCTTGATTCCCCTAGTCTTGCATTCGACTTTTTTTTTTTTTTTAATAATTATTTTGGTTTATAATGTTTTTTGATTGGTAAATTTGATGATTTTTGTTACTCAGATTTTCCAACATGTACTCCTTGATTCCCCTAGTCTTGCATTCTTCACAACATACGCTCTTTTGGTTCTGTTCTGGGCAGAGATTTACTATCAGGTTGAGTTTTTTTGGCAGTTTAGTTAATTAATTTAATATCTGGTCCAACTCTGTTATGACTTTGACATATATTAAACAGGCACGTGCCCTATCTACTGATGGACTCAGGCCAAGTTTCTTTACAATTAATGCGGTGGTTTATGCCATTCAGGTGAAATTTCTCCTCCATTTTTTCACTATTAATCGAAGTGAAGGAGAGGATTCGAAGTCGAATACCTTCTTTGTGGAAGCTAGTCAGCTTCATTAAAGGCGTGATATTTACTGTAATATTTTGCAGTTCTTTTTGTTACATTCATCTAATTGTTTTGAATGTTATTGAAGAGTATTGATTAAGGCAAACCCTTAATCAGGAATATTCTTAGATGAACCCACACAATAACTCTGTAAATACTAGATACTGTGATTTAGATTATTTGGGTGACCACTTGTGTGTAGATATTTCGTCTTTTACATGCAAAGGAGATATTATCTTTTACCTTATTTGGCAGATTGCCTTTTCATTATTAACGTTTCAATTATTTCAGAATCAGATACATGAAATTTTTTTGAGGTTTGCATATTTCAACCCATTAGTGTAACGACTAGGAACAATTGGGATATCTTGTGATTTGTTGATGAGGTAGCACTTAGTATTGTTGCATGGGATTCCAGGCATGGAATCTGAGGATTAGGGATTGAGAAAGTGATCTAGCATAAAGAGCATGCCCAGCTGAGCGGGGAAAACTGGTAAATGGAGATGGTGTGTTGGAGTTTCTGATGTCAATTGGGTTTTGTTTGGTTTAGAAGTCCTATGACTTCATAATCGGTTTTGATTTTTAGATATGAAGATATAGAACTGAAGATCAAGTATAATAGAAGTGACGGATGCTATGATTTCATGGAGAACATTGTTTTTCTTGTCATGTTGCCCCGTTGACAAAGATTTTGATAAGAAATCATAATGACCTGCCGTTGATGCAAACTACTAATTTGGATGTCCTATAATTGATTGCCTTGACAGTGATGGCTGGTTGTATGGAATTTTTTTCATGTGTACATGCAAGCATGTATGTTTCTGTATAGTCCTTTTTTTGGAAGTTAATGATTGTTGACTGGCAAGTCCAGTAGGTCTGTCGTCTGTTTTGGGCTTCCTTAAAGCTTATAAATGGGCTTTTTTTTGTGAAATAATGGAATTATGCACGAGTATGACCAAAATTTACCTTTGTGCTGTCTCTTGCCCACTTTTCAAACTTTCTCTTCACACCCTCCCTTATTCTTCATATTTTTCTTCTACCTCGTTATCTTCCTTTTTTAAGTTCTTCATCCTGTTATGTTATTTTTTGAGAGGTATGGAGATGCTTTGAGCTCTTGGTCTTGTCTTCTTTCCTTTTCCTTCACCCCCTCCTCTTTTTATATGCTCGCATCTTGCCTAATCAAAGGATCAAGGTGAAAATCTCATTTTATGCTTTATTGAGGGTTGCAAACTACAGCTATAGCATATGATGCCAAGGTTTCAATGCGATCATTAGTAAATGCAAGTATGAAGCAACTGGTTAATTGACACAAGGAATGCATAAAAATGTTTTTAAAGTTAGACATGTAGATTTTCTTACTCCATATCAGGTATCAGGTACTATGAAACTTGCGATCACATTTCTAGACACCCTCTAATGACACTGAAGCGTTGATGACAGCTAGGGAGTGTTTGTTTTCTAGGTCCAACTTGCTTTCCAAACTACTTTTTGCTTGAAAAGGCATCAAATTGATGCTTTTTTAGGTGCTTTTCAATATTCTTGATGTGCTAATGTAAAAAATGAAAAACAAATATGAAAAAACATCATTTTAATGCATTTTCAATTAAAATGCACTTTTGAAAAACACCTTGCGCTGCATTACCAAACACATACTTGGGACCTTCCTTTTCCAATACTATCTTTTACAAAAGAAGTTACGTTTTTTACTACTGTTGCTAGTGGGTGTTAACTTGCTTGTGTTTGTAGCTGAACTGATAAACTAAATATGTTAGCAATTTCTTTGGCATATAGATTCCCATCAAAAGTGCTGCTAGTGTTCATTGTAGATGCTTCTCTGAATTTTTGAATTATGAAGTTGGAAAATATGTGGTGTTCTTGGTCAAAGCCTTTTTTTCTCAACTGGTGAAACAAATTGTCTTTTTTGGGATTCTCAGAAATTGATATTTTTGTAACCTGTTGCATAGGTCATTTGAGACTTGGTTCTTTTACTTCCAATTTCAGTTTTCACCTCCCTTGTATTTTGGACCATTTGAAATTGTGTTTTTCTGTTAGGTTTCCATCCATTTTAATGACAAAAAAAGAGAAGCATTAAATCCCCTTTTGTTTCTCTTTCTCCTGTCCTTTTCTTTTCTCCACCCTCCTCTTTCACTTTTCTATCTACCCCCCCCCCCCCCCCACCCCCCACACTAGCCACCACTTTTATCCTCTGTCCTCTTTCCCTTCCTTCTGCTGTTATGTGTCTAATCTTTGTACAAATGTCGGTTTTGGTCTTGTTGGGATTTTGCGTTTTGGAGATGTTGGTGGTGGACAAAAAGGGTAGTGCTTGTTGACGATAATATCAGTGCTGTTTGGGAGATTGGTGATCTCCTCCTCCTCCTCCTTTTACATGTCTTGAATTTGGGACCATGTTTTGAAGATGATGATGATGGGGTCTTCTTAGGGAACATCCTGCAATTCTTTCATTATTTTGTATTAAAAGAGAGAACGGGAGTAATAAATATTGTTTGATGGCTGGTGAGAGGGAGAAGAAAAGAAAGAGAAGGAACAAAAAGAGAAAAAGAAAGGAACAAAAAGAAAAAAAAAAGGATTTGATGTTTTTTTCCATTAAAATGGATGTAGACCTAATAGGACCCAATTTCAAATAATCCAAAGTACAAGGGAGGTGAAACCTGAAATTAAAAGTACCGAGACTAGGTCTCAGATGACCTAAATTTCAAGGGAGGTTAGGCTTGTTTAGCCTTTTTTAAGCCCGTCATTTAGTCCGGATCATAATCAGGCTATGCATAGGAACATTTGTAAGATTTGTTGAAGGATTGAGAATTTTATTTGATACTTTATGGACTATCTGTTTATATATCTGGGCAAGTTTTTCAGTTATTACTGGACTGTTTGCCAAATTCTTTGCAGGCCTGGTTTTTGATTGCTGGTCCATACTTATGGGCACACTGGGGTATTGCTGTATTGACCACTTTGCAAACTGACCAGAATGATCTGCAGCATATTAACTTTAACTCTGGTTTTCTTTGATTTAATCAATTCCAGATTGCTATGTGGTTGGTGTTGGCTTGGAAAAATATTCCGATTGCTGTCATCCTATCAAAGATGTTCTTTGCAGGTTCTTTACTTTACACAATAAACTTCTCTGCATACCTGATAACTCTCTAGTGGTAATCCAGACAGTTTGTTCTTAACATCAATATTCTTGGCAGGTGTGTCTTTGTTTGCAGCCCTTGGTTTCCTACTCTATGGAGGAAGGTAACACACTTCTGTTTTTTCATTTCTATATATGCCTGATGCACAAGCAAGTTCAATATATGCAGTGTGTCATATAGGGTATTAGCACTTGGAAAATCTATAAATGGTATTTAAATTCTATATGAATGTTATCGGTGGGCATGGACTGAGCCCCTATTCTATGCTATTCAACATATTTATTTATCAGAATACTCAAAGCCATGGCAGTGTTTCAATTCCCAGTACTAAATTATTGTCAATGACACAGAAATTAGTGATACTTCCATTGGGCATTGATATAGGTTCAGATATCCTTTAAAATGCAACTATCCTTCCTGTCAATAACTATTTCTTTGTGACATCATATCCATCTGGAAGTTTCAGTGCTATGTTAATTGGCTTGCAAAATTCATGTGTCATTTCACCATTCTCTTACCTGGAATGAGGCGTAAAAGTTAATTTATTCCAGGTCTTAGACGGATCCATATCTAGTTCCTAGTTACTGGTGGAGATTGGTTAGGTTGACAGCACGTTGTTTTTTTTTTTTTTAAAAAAAAGAAGCAATTGTAGATCTTATTAGACATATTTCTAGGGTAGCAAATGCCAGCTGCTATTTACTTTGATGATTTGATTTGATGGGATGGGATTTTTCTCCAAGCAAGTTCTGGTGGAATTTTCTTATAAAGGGACTCTGCTGGAGCAATTTTTTAGGTGTTGTAATTGTTGCTTAAGTTGTGTTAGTTTCTGGGCATATTATCATGTTTCATACACCACTATGAAAGATGCTCTCAATGCTCGGTTCATAATGGGTTGTGAGAATGAGATGCTTTCTGTGGCCTATCCCATCTGCTATCTTATTTGACTAGCCTTCTTCCTGCAGAGGAAGTTAGACATTAACCATAATTGCCAAAAAAAACCAAGAAGAGATGGTGGGTTCTGTCATCTCTGCTGCTGCATCAGATCTGGCTGGCAAGATTGTCTGACTTGTCTATGATGTCTCCAATTGTTAGGATCCTCAAGCTATTCGTGTAGTGCATTTTGATCATCTTAATCCTAGGGTAAACATTCAGCCAATAAATTGGTTCCTTTATGGATCCAATCATGGTTGTGTTTTTCGTGGAATGGGTTGAAATAAAGTCTTAGCTGCTTGGGACTGCTTTAAAAGTTTTATGAGGATGCCAGTGGTTGCTGCTTATCTAGTTATCTCTGTTTAGAGAGCTGTGTTTCTTCTAATTGCAACAGTTTGTGTTTGCGCAGTCGTGCAATATGATGAACTTGTATGTGAAAGCCTTTTAGCATGTACCTTTGATTCCTCTTGTTGCTTGATTTTGTTCTCCTAGAAGATAAAGCGTCTTGCACAAGTATATGTACCTTCTGAATCGTCATCTTTTGGCAGGCTCTTCTTAATGTTGCAGCGATTCCCTGTGGAATCCAAAGGGAGGCGTAAGAAATTGCAAGAGGTAATTATAGTTTAGAAGTACGTTTCTGTAAATCAAGTTCCTGAGTTTCTTGCATCATGATGTGTTAGTCATGCAAATGAACCCGGTGTGTATTATATGATTCAGATTAAACAAATTACTCAAACTTATATTTACAATCTAAACCCTTTCAAATCTCGTATTAATCAACTACCTTGATACGACCCCTCCCCTATCTTGTGATGCCTGCTGTGGTAGAAAATATTTTCCATTAGACTATATGATTTTCTTCTTTAATATATCTGTGTACATGGTTTTTTCATTTATCAAGTGTTTTTCTTTTCTTTTGTTTGGTTTTTGTTTTGAACAGGTTGGCTATGTGACCACCATATGTTTTTTATGCTTCCTCGTTAGATGCATTATGGTGAGTTTATATTTATGTTTTTGCAGATTCTCTTTTCTACCCTTGACTTTTGGGGGGAAGATGCCTTGTATTGGAAAGAAGTTTTAAAATGGTCAACTAAGTGCTCGCATGAGAATTAGAGTCCATATTTCTGTTTAACTGTTGTAAATGACAATGTTTCCTTTAAATTGGTTAGCTGTTTATTATTAAATGAGAAATGGAGTCCGTATTACTTTATGTTCCTTGTAAATTGGTTACCCCTGAAAGTTACATTTGCTCAGCAAACTCTATTTGTTTCATGATGTCTAGATCTGAAGTTTCTCATAAGTTTAGCTTGTACTGTTTTTTTCTCATGCTAGATATGCTTCAATGCATTTGATAAAGCTGCAGACCTTGATGTGTTGGATCATCCTGTTCTAAACTTCATATATTACTTGGTAAGTTTGCAATGTTTTCATACAGACAAGCTAGTGAAAGTTTGTGGCGTGTTTTGTTTATCAAAACATTAATTTTAAAGGCTGCTTCATGATGATTTTCTCACTGGTAGCTGAACATAAAGTCAAAAGGTGCAGACACACACATCACAAACATCAAGAAAGTTCCCCTTTATCAATCTTCTCATCGAATTATCTATAGCTGTTTGCAATTTTTTTCTGGTTTATGAGATGAAATTTCTGGATCTATGGATGTTGGAGAGTTTGAGAATGATAGGAGTTTGGTGTTCCTAAAGAACCTTGTTTGAACGAACAGCTCTGCTGTGCTGGAATTTATATCAAATATTGTTTTGAGGTGGCTTGGCATTGTATTTGGTGATATTTTGTTGTGAAAAAATAATTTGTGAACTTAGAATTCCATATGCTTTTGAAATTTGAATAGAATCATGAGTGCATCTCTGGATTTCCACAGGCGGTTTTTTGAACCTTTTGCCTTTGATTCTAAGATTTCATTTCCTCATTGCATCCTTCACAATATTCAATGATTCCTGGTTGAAGTGGACTTCTACACAATGGCTCTTGCTTTCTTTAGTTTTTGGTTTTTGGGATTTTTTCTCTAATCTAATTATGTGAGTTGTATATCTGTGGCTAGCTATGGTGTTTTGATTGCATGGTTCTGCTGTTTGTTTTTGAACCGCTCAGAAGTGTAGTTTCTATCCACCTCTTAGAGAGAGTGCTTTTGACATGTCTGTCTTTCCATGTTTTTCCTTGCAGCTGGTGGAGATTTTACCTTCAACTTTGGTTCTTTTCATTTTAAGGAAATTGCCTCCAAAACGTGTTATCACACAGTATCATCCCATACGTTAAAAGAAATGGATGTAAGTGTATGATGGAATGGAGATCTCAAGAATGGCTTTAATGCTTCCATTCATTTTGGAGATGCTGTGATCTTACAAAGAAGGGACGGACGGGGTAGAGCCAAAGTGAGTTGTTACTTTGGAATCTGCAAGCTATTTTTATAGATGTAAAATGTCACTTATTCTTGGTAGGAGGCCATGGATGTGTTGAAAAAGCAATGACCTTGTACTGGAGTATTTCTTACAGTTAGTGTTCTAATCTCTGCTTCATGTCCCGTGTTGTATACTCGATGCTCTGTTGTGTCTACAAGTTTGCAAGCAACAATACATGCATATGAAAATAGTAGAAAAAAGTTGTTTGTTGTACCATAGGCTTGTGTTTCTTATACTGGATTCTGTAAAAAGTTCTTCAGTGCTCTGTGTTCTGTGCATGGATGGGTATTCTCTCTACACCTTGTCTAATCTGTTTGTCCTAACAAGCCTTAAAATCAACTCTAATGGGCCAATTGATCTTGAAAATCATAGTAAGCGAGCAAAAATTTAAATTGAGCTTTCGGAAAATTTCAGTTCTCGTGAGTTTCTCATATATATAGACAAATCTAATCATGAAAATTCTATTAGAAGCATTCATGAAAGTTATCCACAGCTGAGAACAACATACCTGGTATATTTCCTGTGCAAGAACATCTCTGAACTGGTGGTGCTGGTTCTTCTGCCCACGCTCTGCTTTGATTCTTTCACCAAGCTAAATGATCTTCTTTGTGAGGAGTTTGGTCTCTTCAAAAGGAGTTTGAGTTTTACGAAGTTTGACTGGTAGATAAATGTCTGTTTGGTTCCGAGCTCTTTCTCTCTGGTCTTAGTAGCATTTTGAATGGTAGGTTTACAGGCATATGCTTCACGCGTATGTTTCATTCTTCAATTACAGACATTTGCGCATTGCTTTGCGTTGCGTTGCGCGCGGTTTCATAATATCTATTGCCAGGTTCACATTTTCACTGAGGTCTAGAACCACAGGAGCATATAAATAAAGAGAGAAAAGGCCCGGTTATAGGCAAGAATTAAACAAGATAAACAAAGAATAAGATGGTGAAAAAACAAAAAAATATAAATTATGATGCAAGGCTCGAAGGAAGCGTATATTTTTGGGCTAGGCCTAGGACCAAGAAGAATAGTTTGCTGTTTATATAATATTAATTATTATATTACAATTACAATTGTAATTGTAATTTTATGATATAATTATAAAAGAAAATATTTGGCGGTGTTTATACAATGTTTTAGTATTGCTCATATACTCACAAATCATTATTTATTAGATTTTTTTTTTTGCATTCCAATCTTTTTAGTTTTTAAATTTTATTTTTCAATCATATAACTTAATTTTTGTAATTGTCCTAGACAATTGAGAAATGAGAAAGATGAGAGAGAAAACTTTTGATTTGCCATTAAAAAAATCTATGATCTTGGTGTTATCAAGTTAGTCTTCAAAAGAGGAGTTCAATGAAATGATTTGAGTTTTAAATTGAATTAAAAAGGCAAATCAAAGATGTGTTTGATTTAATTTTAAGTATTCAAACTAGTTTGATTTTTTTATGGTTGAAAATGAAATTTAAAGGTTTCACTCGTGCATGTGAAGACAAATTAAAAGATGGATTTTGAGTAGAAATAACCTAGAATTTTAATTTTTTAATAACAAGAGATGTCTAAGAAATAACCAGGTTTGATGATTGGACATTTCAAGTCTATGCACAACTAGCATGTTCTTTCAAGTAAAAGTATGACTTAATTTTTGAGTTTTTAATTAGCATGATCTGGCTTTTTTTATTCTCTTTTATTTATTTATTTTTATTTTTATTTTTCCAAAACTTTCTAATGAAATCTACCATAAAATTGGATGCAAATCATTTAATTTTTTTTGGTCCGCTGGTTTTACACTGGATAATAAAATCACGATTTCAATCAGTATTTTATTCAAAATTGACAACCTTCAATCGAGCTATTTTGTTGCTCTTAGAAGGATCATGTCTCGTGCTATCTTCATCTTCATGGCAATCTCCTATCAATCTCAAACACATGGGTAAAAAAAAGAGTGCTCCGTAATCTATCTCGAGTCAACCGAAATGATTTGACGACCTTGTTAAATTTATCGAGCACGTTGATACTAGCGTCCTGCACTGTATGTTCATCAATCGAAGCTGAGTTTTCCGTGGATAATCTGATTCTAGACTCGATTCTATATATAACTGATGGAATTCTCCATCTGTCAATGCAATGATCCAATCTGACGATGGTTTTGATTGTTTATCCGAAACAAAATGAGCCAATGTTTTATTAGTGCCATGATCGAATTCCCATCAGAAGGTGGTGTCATAGCGAGTTCCAGGCACGGATATTTTCTTAAATCTAAGGCCATTTATATTCACCTTACAGTGATTTCTTGAAATAAAACCCAGTTAACACTTTGATTTTCTTCCTGAAATGCATATCGAACCTGCGAGCTGCACTCTCGAACTAGCTCACAGAGCCGCAACGGACGGTACACGAGATTCATCGACCCTCAAACAATCATTTATAAGCTGAACTCAGAACTCGGAGTCCATCTCTAAAAATCCACCCACGTACCTATAGATTTATCACCTCGTGGGGAAGCAATTTCCAGCCCCAATGCAAAAAAGCCCATAGCTCCGCCTCGAGACGAGCACCAATCTATGTGGCAATGTTTGGAGCGGTTGCCGAGTCCATCTTCCAATGTTAGTTGTTTTTTTTTTAAATACTGTTTTCAATATTAAAAAAAAAAAAGTAAATTACTGTTTTCGACTTGAGTTTGTGATCTGAGACTCACCGACGTAAATTACTGGTAGTTTTAAAGAGAGGAGGGACTTGGTGACAATAATGGTATCTACACATGTTCTGAGATAAAACATGAAACTGCATGGACTAAACAATTAGCGATCCACATTTTAAATTAAAAAAATAAATGTAACGCCTTCCAGCCAGAATTCCCAGATAAACAGGAGCCAAAAACTGTGAAATCTAGGAGTGAGGTCATTGTCATTTGAGTAGATGCCACGTCAAGTAGGTCCTAATAAATAGTTCGAGCTTGCTTAACAACCGCTGATTAGAGACAAAAAGGCAGTGAGTCAGCAATGACAAAGAGAGAGATAAGAGAGAGCCACAAATATCTCCGAAAGCAGATGGATTTCTTGCTTGACAGCTAACACAGAATAAAAACAAAATACATTGTCAACCTGTCATCCAGCTTGCACTGCATGGCTCTCATACTGCTATAGATTTCGTGACAGACGTAAGTAGATGCTTTATTTTATTTGTAAACTAAGATTAAGATTTTCAGGGAAGGACGGAGTCCTTCCCAAGAAAATGTGGCAAGGACTTGCATCCTGGGCTAATCTCAGGGAAGGACTTTCCGGCTATTATAAATTCTCACCAGTTTTGTTTACCTAAAATGCACCGCATCTCCATTCCTTCTAATCCTTTACCTCTATCTAACCTCATCCTCCTTCCCTGTTATACTTAGTTTCTCTGCTTTCTTTTCTTTGGCTTCTTCCTTCCCGATTCTGCTGCAGATGACTATCCTCTATGAGCACCCTCCAGCTTTTGGTAGGTTTCCATTGTTCCTCTCTCTCTCTCTCTCTCTCTCCTTCATTAATTATCTTCAAGTTCATGTGTGCATAAGTATATATCTTGTTATTAATTGCGTTCGTGTTGATTAATTATTTCATCCACGTTAATGTCTAGGAGTTGAGCTCGAGGAGAAAAACATCCCAGTTGATCATGATGGCCAGGAAAATGAATTGGTGCTGGATGGAGGATTCATTGTGCCCGACGCCAACTCGTTTGGTCACACTTTTAGGTCTCCATCTAATTATTTCCTTTTCTTTTAATTAGTGAGATAAATATTTTTATTTTTATGCCATTTCGCGAGGCACCCAGGCAGTGGTTTCAGCTTTTTATTGCTATAATCATTTTCATTATTCCGGATGGGATTTGGTTCGTAAGGAGGAGGTTAAATGGATTTTAAACCAGACAGCAAAATGGTTTTTATTCCTCTTTACGACAAAAACTTGATACATCTTCATAGAATTTTCGACTGTTTCCTATGAGCTGTCACTTGAAGACCTTCGAGGGAGTAAAGTACATGGACGTACTTAGCTTCCTCGTCTTTTATGGTTTAATTATTCTGGTCATGTGGATTAAAACTAGATTTTCTATTATTTAATAAAATCTGACAGGAAAATTTAGTTAGGATCCATGTTATTCACGACCGAACTAATGATCGAGCCAACCAGGTGACTAGTTAGATCATAGGTTTGTGCCAGCAAACGGATCGATCTCTAGACATGGCTACCAGATTCGATTCACAGTCCCCGATCAAATCATTTAATTATAGCTCAATGTGTCGGATCAACATGTTTACTTATAGCATGTCGATTATTATATTAAAACTAATTTCTTTTATGTATGATGACGAAAAAAACTTAGTCAAGAAAAAACGCCAAGGTTTGAATCTTACTCCAAGCGATTTGATTTTTTCTTTTTCAAAGTCAATTCTTGACCTAGTTAAGAGATAAGTTCGAAGTCAATTAATTTCTTTTTCTATCCAAATCCAAATCCAAACCTGACCCAGATCCACTTAATGAATTTTTCATCAATCCATTAGCAAGCTGAGTTTGACAGCCAGTCTCTATATGAAGTTAATCAGTAATAAATAAAAAATTAAATGTTTTATAAATTAGATCAATCCCTAATATAAAATCATTTACATTTAAATCCCACCATGCAGGCGGGTATACTTGTTTGATTTAGTTTGGTTTGAAAAATAAATAAGGAGAGTTGATTTAAACTAATTCGGTGATGGATTGATTTGATTGAAATTAAAAAATCATTTTATTTTTTAAAAAAATTCAATAACCTGTGTTATGTGCCGGGTCGGTTTTAATAACAGCAGTGCTCCTATGTATACACGAGCAAAAAAAAATAAAAATAGAAGTTATAGTCAGCATGATTTATATTATAAAAGATGTTTTAAAAGGAATACGAGGTTTTTAAAGTAAATTGTCCTTATTTTATCTTTATTCTAGTATTTAAGATTTAAAAATTATAGGTAGGCCAAGTTTTATTGTTTCAGAACAAATAATAACCATAACAATAATATTTTTATTAAATTAAATTTTTTTTTTTTGCTAGGAATGGAATATATTGTTATTGTAAATCTTTAATGTTAATTGTAATTTTTAAACAAGGCTTGTATTTAGTGGATGAAGACCACGGTAAATAATTAACTTTAGTGAAAAAAAATTATAAATAAAATCTATATAAAATCATTTACGCGATAATTTGAGTTTTCTTAATAAAAATTCAAAAAATACTAAAAAGATCTTGCTTGGATGGACTGTTGTAACAAATAACATTCCATAAATATATGATATGTTGATGGGCCGGTCCGCATGTATCCGAAGTCCAACGTAAAGTCTAGTTGATCCAACTAGACAGGCCTAAGCCCACAAGCTTCCTCTCCTCCCTCTCCGGGCTCCGTCGAGTCCATCAAACAATTAGACTTCTATTTAATCAACTATTCATTTAAATTTCAAATATTTATTGCAGCTACTAATATTAGAGGTTTGCCTCCTCCTATTGTAGTGTCTCTTCCTTTATTATTTACAGTGTCTAATAACTTGTGAATTATGGAACAGGGATTATGATATAGAAAGTGAACGTCAAAAGGGCGTGGAGGAATTTTATCGAACAAATCACATTAACCAGACTTACGGCTTTGTATGCTACTCTGCCATATATGTTTTTCCAGCGGATGCTAGATATATTATAATTAACAATTTGCGAGCATCAAATTCTCCATTTGAGCAAAAGTAATTGATGATATTCATGGACATTCCTTTTCTTATATATGTGTTTTTTTCTGGGTTTCCTGTGGTAATAAAAATGCAGGTAAAAAGGATGAGAGAGGAGTATGGGAAATTGAATAGGGTGGAAATGAGCATATGGGAATGCTGTGAACTCCTTAACGAATTTATAGATGAGAGTGATCCTGATTTGGATGAACCTCAAATTGAACATTTACTGCAGACTGCTGAAGCCATCCGAAAAGACTATCCCGATGAGGACTGGCTGCACTTGACTGGCCTTATCCATGGTATAAAAAATCATGGCAGCTTAAGCTATGAAAATTTGAATACTTGTGCAGACTTCGATTATTAATAATCACATCTGATTAACTTGCCTCTTGATGTATTTTAGATCTTGGAAAGGTTCTTCTCCATCCTGCTTTCGGGGAGCTTCCTCAATGGGCTGTTGTAGGTGACACATTTCCTGTAGGATGTGCCTTCGACGAGTCGATTGTTCATCACAAGGTCTGCTCTTGATCATCCGATCGATAGAAATGATAATTTCTTGTTGGTCCAACATTCTTCGTTAATTCTTTTTTCTCCCCCTCCCCGTGCAAGTTTCTAATATAATCTGGGCATATTGGTATCAGTACTTCACGGAGAATCCAGACTGCAACAATTCTGCTTACAACTCGAAATATGGAGTATATTCAGAAGGTTGCGGGCTTGACAGAGTGTCGATGTCATGGGGCCATGATGACTACATGTATCTGGTACTCATTTCTGATTTGGTTTTTCTTGTAACAATAAAAATCCTTTTCTACCTGCTTATAAAGAAAATAAAAAAGAAGGGAACGATACTGTTCTTTCTAATTGTGATGCATCGAAGATTAAAAATTCAGACAAAAATCTCATTGAAGTTATTGATCATTACAGGTAGCCAAAGAGAACAAGACCACTCTACCATCTGCAGGTCTTTTCATTATAAGATACCACTCTTTCTATGGTAAGTAGAAAAAAGATGGATTGCTTTTAAATGTGTTAATACTCTAATTTATGGTACAATATTTAACCATCGAATATTGTCTTATTTGCAGCTTTACACAGGGCAGGGGCATACAGACACTTGATGAATGAAGAAGATGTTGAGAATCTGAAATGGCTCAAAATATTCAAGTAAGAATCTTCGAGATGGATCCTGTCATTGGATTTTGTGATATATAGGATTCTATTCAACTATTCAAGGGATAAATATTCTGTTTTGTGCTGTAATATGCAGTAAATATGACCTTTACAGTAAAAGCAAGGTGCGGATTGATGTTGAGAAAGTGAAGCCATACTATCTCTCACTCATTGAAAAGGTAAACAACAGTTGTCGGTCAGAATAATTTTCTATGAGATTTATATGGGAAATTAATTAGTAAACGTTGGAAAAATTATCCCTTGAATTATTTGGTATAACATTTCTTCACAGCCAAACTGGGAGCCTGATTATCATGAAGTCTCTCATAAATGCCAACTTTCTTGTTCTTGTTTAATCCTTCTATAATTTATTGCAGTACTTTCCTGCAAAGCTAAGGTGGTGAATCGGTCAGGAGCTGGATACAAGACAGTGATCGTCCTGGCAGTGGTTTTGTTTTGTGTTTTTTTTATCTTCCCTGTTACGGGGCTGGTCTGCGTGGTTGGAGATTAGGTAGCCGTTCCTTGGCTTTTAGTTCTTTGTAATAATCCGAGGCAGGTCATCCATATGTGATTGGCTTCCTGGAGAAATGGAACCCTACAGTTTAGTAATGGTATCTCCTTCGAGATTTCAATCTCGTTTTCTAAAATATCTATGCTTGAGGGTAATCCTATACATGCTTTGGCATCGATGCATAAGCTCAATTAACCATGAGAATTGAGCATTGGCGTGGCAATTTCACTGGGTTAATCACCTCTTCAATATCACCTAACTTGGCTGTATTGGAGTCGGAGCGAAAAGATACAAGTTAAAAGGAAAATAATATTTATAAATACAAAAGACGCATATACAATCATGCTAATCATTGATGATTTACTATATAAATTTATATTCTTAAATCACATGTATTAATTTCTAGACATGGTTTAGAGAGAATAAGATTATTGGTTGTATAAGTAAGATTTTCTACATGAATTTATTAGGATATGATTTTATAAAGTGCTATAAAAAATAAAAAGAAATATCGAAAAAATCAGGTTAATTAACAGCGCTACCTAACAAGTGAAAAAGACCCTTCACCTAGACCGATACGACTAATTGCCATCCCTTGGCATGACCCTCACTTTTAGCTAAATCACGGCCTCTACTCGTTTCCTCGACATCATTCCCGTCCTCCAAGTCGTGTCTCTTGACTGTAAGATCTGGTTGTTGTCCCGAAACAACCGTGACAAATACGAGATACAAACATGCTTTTTTAGGTTGTAAGGAACAGGTTCCTTGATCGGAGGGGATATCGAGCAACGTGCTGTAGTGGCTCCCGAAAAAAAGAACAGACGCGACTCGAGAAGATACAATACATGATTGAAATGTTTTTCTTCGAAGATTATCGGTATAAACAATTCATAATTTGGTTTCCTCTCGTCGTCGGCAGAAGGAATAATTTTGTATGTTAGCTTGAGGAAATTGGACAGAGAATTCGTCAAGAGAAGAAAGCCAAAATGGACACCTTATACCGACTAAACATATGAGATAACATAGAACAGCACGCCGCCTCTTTGAAAATTTTACTTCAAATTAGAATTAGGTGGAAAAGAAAAAATAATAGGGTGTTTGATAGTCAGTTTTAATATGCTTTTTTTAAAAAAAAAATTATTTTCAAATTATTTTTTTAATTTTTTTATCGTTTAATAAATTATAAAAAAATAAAAAATATATATTATTTTAATATTTTTTATTTTAAATTAATAATTTTTTTATTGATTTGATGTGCTATCTCAAAAATAAATTAAAAAATATTAGCACACTTTTCAATACCGATTGAGCTGGTGTCGTAGAAACTTAAGAAAATAATAGCCGTGTAATCCAATTTAGTGTCCGTCGTGCTCTCCAGTCAAGGAATGCAGTTGTGGTTGAAGACGCAATTTGCAAGCTGGGTAGGTAGGCGGTTGGTTTTTATTTTAAGCCCACCATTCTATCTCTCTTGTTAGGTGTATTTATGTGCCTATGACCCTTCAGTTGATTTGATGTGAAGGTTTTTTATTTATTTATTATTATTATTATTATTAAAGGTTTGTTATTTCTCTTCACTTCTACGTTTTAATTGGATGCCACCGGTATTTATGAGTTAATAATAACTTTTATTTAAACCAATTTATTACGTCATGTGGTGCTAGAAATAATTAGACAGTCATTCATGTTCTTTTTTTAAATAAAAAAATGCCTTCATTTTGGCCAATTTTTCCTTCTCTCCCTCCCTCCCTCTCGCTAAATAAAAATATAATAAATTAGAAGGAAAAAAGAGCATAAAATAATGAAAAGACTAAGCTATAAAAAAAAATAAAGCACAAGAATTAAATATTTGATTTTTTAAATCACTAGGGCAGACTGATTATTATTTTTCTGGCCATAGGAAATAAGTGAGTAGATCATTCGATTTAGTTGTTGATTTATTTTATTTGTTTTTTCTGAACAAAAATCAAATCACACTTATACAGGACTAGATTATATGAATTATATGTTGAAGTAAAACTTTTTTAATTCAAGATTTATTATTTTTTATATTTTTTTGAAAAAATAATTTTTTAAAATTTTAAACATGATTAAATTAAAAACAAACAACTATAACATGAAACAAACCAGATCAGACTAAATTACAGTGCTTTGATATAGTTTTTTGGTTCAGATCAAAAGACTCCTCGGTCATGGCTCAATTGAATAATTTATAAATCTAGCTATGAATTCATCCCAGATCGATTCCCTTTGGTATCACAATTTTTTCATTTAATTAATTTTAAAATAAAAATAAAAATCACGCGTGAAAGAGAGGGTGCAGAAAGTGCCTTTATGCATCTAGTTTTGTCTCGAGCACAGCTGTTTATTTATTGACCACTACCGTCTCCTGCATTCTTGCCAATGCAAATTGATTTCTCATCACAGCTCAGCATGCCGTAGAGTTCTACCTCTCTATTTCTTCTAAGGCGTGTTTTGGCGAAGGTGGCTTGCTCTGTGCTGTTTCCCTGTGCCGTCTTTGACCAGCACGATTAATTTACTGTTGGGTGTGTTTATTTGTATGTTTTAAAAATATTTTAAAAAAATTTAAAATTTATTTATTTAAAATTAATATATTTTTAATTTTTTCAAATTATTTTAATGTGCTAATATTAAAAATAAATTTTTAAAAATAAAAAAAATTATTGATATATATTTTAGCATAAAAAATTATTTGAAAAACAACCATACTTCCAAACAAACTCTTATAGAATATTATTTTTTTTAATAATATTTTTTAAAAATATATATTTTTGTTTTTGTTTTTTATTTTAATATTTAATTTATTAGAAATTAAAGTCGGTGATTTATTATGATTTCTTTATACATGGTTAGCTTGATTTTATAATTTGTGTAGTGAGTTTGACAAATTAATTCAATTTTTTTTATCTTTTTAATTAACATTTGAAAAAAAAAATATTCTTTAATATTGGTTTGGTTAATAATTAGATTTGATAATTTATTTTAGTTTGTTTTCTATGAAGTTATTCTGGTCTCATGGTTCTTGTTATGTATTTAACGGGTTAATTTAATTGACTTGAGTTTTTTTATTGTCAAATTTTAATTGATATTTTTTTAATTTGATCCTTCTATATTAAATTGATTATGAATCATATTTATGATTTATTTTTATTTATTTTTTATGAAGTTATCCCAATTTTATGACTCAGGTTACATGTTTTACAGGTTAACCGGTGTAGATTGAGATCATTTTATTGTGATCTGTCTTTATATTGAATTTTTTTCAATCTCAACTTTTAATAATAGATCTATTGAAGACTAAACTTTATAATTTTTTTATTTATTTTTTATGAGGTTATTATAATCTCACAATCTTGGTCGCGGGTTTAGTAAGTTAAGTTAGGTTAACTCAGGTTTTTTTTTGTTATTTTTTCACAAATTTATTTTATTTTTGTAATTTGGGTTATGAATTTGACATAATAACTTAAAATGTTTTCTTTCTTTCAAATCTACCCTTTAATATTTAGTTGATTTGAGATTGGAATTCATTGTTTTGTTCATTTTCCTTTCTATAAAATTATTATGATCTCATCATTTAAATTAAAAGTTTGGCGAATCAGCTCGGATTGATCTAAGTTATTTTTTATTTTTTTATTTTATCTTATAATATTGAGATTGTTTATCTCAAGTCGCAGGTTAGCTCTTGTTTTCCATTATTTTTATATTATTTTCTTAATTTTATCATTTAGTTGATTTGGAACCATGCATAATATTATTTATTTTTTTATTTTTTATAAAATTATCCTGATTTTATTGATTGGGTTGACTCGAGTTTTTTCTATTATTTTTTAGTTGATAAATATATATATATATATATTATTTGATATTTCATTAATAGTTGAGCTTTATAATCTATTTTAATATATTTTATGTGTAGCTTTGATAGATTAACCTAAGTTTATTCAATTTTTTAATTTTGTATTTTAATATTGATTGAATTAAAAATTAGTTTTTATATTTAATTTTAAATTACTTTTTATATAATTATTTTATTTTTATAATTCAAATTATAAATTCAACAACTTAATTTAAATTTATTAATGCAGATACAATAAATTTTCATCTAAGTATCTTTTTAAAAACATGTAATAGTGCAATTTTTTTTACTCGAGCAACATTTTTAACAGTTTTCAAATTATCTTTAAACTAGTCTGGTTGACTCAACCACAATTTTTTTTTTTTCCAGTGAAAGTACATTAATAACTTCTAAATATTTTTTCACTTCAAGAAAAGTGATCTAACCCGCAACACCTTGCGAACACTGATCTAGTTTTGCTAACTATTTTACGAAGGCATCTATCCATCCAACTAGTCTTTATTTATTAATATTGTTCCAGTCTTTGCAATTTCGTGTCGGGATTAGCGTGTTCTGAATTGAATTTCCTTTTCTTTTAAGTTCTAACCGGTAAACGGACGAAAACTCTCATCTGGATAAATTGACAAACACGAGGTGGGCTTTATTTTAGTCTACTTCTCTTCTCTTTTCTTGGATCGAGAATGGTTTATTGTTTTTCTTCCTTTAATGATTCGGACCCCATTTCAATTGGGTTTTCTTTCTTGTACTAGTTGATTGATGGGTTCCTGTTTGACTTTTGTATTTCATTTCCGTTAGGATTTTGGATTTAACACTCTCTCTAGTTGCTATTTGCTGTATTCTTGGTTTTGGATTGAGTTATTGCATCTTTGCAAATTCTGGTTTCTGGGTTGGAGGAATCCATCGTGAACTCTTTGCTGACTGAAATAAGATTTAAGAAATGAAAGGGAAAACTGGGGCACCAGGAAGTCACTTTGTGTTGAACACAGGAGCCAAAATCCCTGCCATTGGACTTGGAACTTGGCAGAGTGGTGGAGACCTCTGTGTCGAAGCCGTGAAAACTGCCTTGTCTGTTGGTTACCGTCACATAGACTGTGCACATCTTTATGGGAATGAGATTGAAGTTGGGGAAGCCCTGAGCGAAGCTTTCAATGCTTCGCTGAAGAGGGAGGATATTTTCTTGACTTCTAAGCTCTACTGCACTATGAATTCCCTTAATAAGATTGAGAACTATGTGAGGGTTTCGCTTAAGAATCTTGGAGTCTCCTA